CCACTGGTCTTACTTTTCACATCCCAGTCAAATTCCTCTCTTCCCTTTTCAAACATCATTCATATCATCACTGCACAAAAATATGATATTAAGCTCATATGCATTAATAACTGTTACGTCATTGAACAGTGTATTGTATACCAGTAGACCCTCCACAGTACTGTTAGCTGCTGTATCACATCCGCCGACAGGCATAAAATCTCATATTCAAAATATTCCACAATAAAATGCCACAACGTGTAATATTCTTATCAAACAAAAAAACGAAAAAACAAAGCAAGCATATACATAAAAGACCACATACGAGACACCCATATAATACCAACAAGTGGTCAAGTAAGCAGGATAATAAACACCTAAATTAGCTTCCTGTCTTACATAGCGAATGATTAGCAAGGTCATAATACCTCTTGCGACATCACTGTATTATAAAATGCACTCCATCCGCTGCACGACTGTAACAATAACATTCGAACCAACCAACACAAACTTTAACCTATATCATAAGAATAAATAACCCAACATTATGATTATTATATTATTTTATATTCTTTCTTTTCTTCTCATTAACATTACAGTCCTTATTCATCTTTGAGCGCAGGGTATAAACTCTGCCAAACACCAATCCATTCCTTTTTCTTTTGTAAAACAGAACTACATATTTCCTTATTTAATGTTATAACAATGCTTTAAGCTCAATGTGTAACATTTAAGAGGATATAATTGGCGGAAAATTGTAATTATGTAACATGTGTAGCAGAAGGGCATAAATCACTTTCAAGATGCTTCATCTTTACAAGGCTTTATTTTGACTGGGCAAATGCAGGAGGGGCGATAAAAAATTGCTCTATTTACAGGTGATTACAACATGGTATTTTCAGACAGTCTCAACAATACAGATAATCACACACAACAACAAACAGTTAAAATAGCCAAACAAACATAACAGCACCTTCCTACCTTCATTCCTGTGTCATTTAGCCTCTTACTTGACAATTTACTCTCTCCTCGTCGTTACTATTCGTTTTTTTCATCTTACGCAATGAGTCTCGTCAAGTTGCTGCAAAATCACCACTACACTCTCTCTCCCTCCTCTCTCTCTCTCTCGCTCTCTCTCTCTCTCTCGTTCCTCTCCTCCTTCTTCTTTATCTCTTCTCCTTTCCTGTGAAGACGCCAGGTTCGTCTCTCTATTCCCAGAAAGTCCCCTGCTGTGGCATAAACTTGCATGGAATACTTTCCGGAGAGGAAGGGGAAGACATCACAGCGTGTGACCTTCCGTACGGCATCCTATCACCTGGCTGTGGCTGACAGACTTTACAACAACACAAACACCCCACCACTACCACCACCACACACACAACCACCAAGATAAACCACACAGGCATTTACTAAAAGAACACTTTATTGACCGACACTTCAGTTTTGCCTCTCCAAAGGAGAAGAGAGGAGAGAGAGGAAGCGGATAAAAGTTCAAAAGTGGTCTACAGAAAACGTTCCATACTACTTGCGCATTGACAGCGCTGAGCTTGAACCAAATATTTGACAGGAAAATTCTCACCCACACAAATGAATAAAAAACAGCCTGTTCCCACAGTGTGTGGATGCGTGCCAAGCCTGCATCCTCTCAAATGTTTTAAAGGACCAGCGTGTAGGTTTAGTGCGATTACTTGAAAGAAACAATGGTGCCCACAGAAATGTGAAAGACCCTGTCTGGAGCCGTGTTTTGTTGTCTCGTTCTGGCTACTTGTTTGAAACATACTGTCAATAGTTTCAAACAATGCTCCATCTAAATTAATTAAACCCGTTTTATGAGGTACATTCACTAACTACTTAAATTTCCAAGAGAAGAAATATATGTACTTTTTACTCCCCCCACTGCATCTATTTGACAAAGCTGTAGTTACTTTCACACTACCCTTAACATTAATAATATTAATCTGGTCTGTTGATTTGTCACATTTCAGATGTCCACGAGGTTGCTATCAGTTCATAAATGATTCCACACCATTGTCAATAGTGACACAGGTGGCCATTTTTTGAACTGCAGTCAGCATCTGTTGCTTGCACTCATACTGCATACGTAGGCGTAGGCAGGCATTATCCTGGGGATCGGCCAAAATGGACATACACGAGACAGAACCAACCTATTTAGCTTAGGTTACAGTTAGCCAGCCCTTTCTTGCATCACTCTTGGCTTGTAGAAACCAAACATTAGTATGCACCTCAGCTTTGTACTGTTGGCTAAAATCAATACCGTTGACTGGTAAAGTGATTTTGCAAGCAAACATTAACATATCCACTCAGGTAGAATTTTGCTTGCGATAAAGTTATCCAGCCAGCTGCAACCCAGCCACGCTAAATAACATTGTCTGGCGTATCAAGTTCAGTCTGCCCCCCAAGAACCACATGCAACTCACTAGAGCTTGCACAGCTATCTATATATTTTTCTTTTAAAGATACTTTAAGTATATCTTCTTGATAATATTTGTGTACTTTAACTTAAGACAGAGAGATTTTGAATGCATATTTTTAGATTGAGAGAATCTGAGTAATTCTTCACACTGCAAATAACTAACTAAGTGAAAAATCTTCCACCAACCCAAAAGCAAAGTGAAGCAGACGTCAATACACACAGATTGCACACAGATGGGAGCTGGATTTACACACAGTTAACATATGGTCTGTAACAGAGATATTTATCGAGATTGGAGAGTATTTCAGAGGTTACATTCTTTAGGAGCAAAGGCTGGAAAACACATATACAAACCCACATACTTGCACAAACACAGACATACCAAGACACACACACACACAGCAAATTATATATTGAAAGAACACATGTCTCTGAAGAGCAGAAAGGGCAGAAGAAGATGGGCGGCGACAGGGAAGGTATGGACAGAGGGTAGTAAATAGTTAAAAAGGATCAAGGAAATGTCATTATACAACACAAGCTTGTACAACGAATGAAACTCTGCAGTCCCTCCATGCTACACATTAATAGAGGCCAGGAAAGAGAAAGAGAAGATGCAGAGGTCCTTTAATGCCAAATCAGAAAGAGAGGGAGGAGTAGCAATTGGAGGAGGAGGGAGTGAAGGGAGAGATGGAGTGTGTGTGGTGGAGACGTCATTATGCAGGATGACAAAAGAAGAAGGGATTCTCTGGTCAGCTGCTGCTTCTGCTGCCACTGTCTATTGTCCGACCGAGGACCCCCCCTCCACACACACACACA